TTTTGCTGACGACTGGCTTGTTTGGCTTGTTGGACTCTAAGAGTAGCTTCTTTTTTTTGCCGCCGAGTTTGTTGGTTAGTTAAGAGTTTAGCACGACCTAATTGTCAAGCGGAGGCTCACAGGTTGAGTTTTTGGCGATAAACTTTTTTTCACTTTTGTTGAGCAGGTTTGTTTTTGGCTTGTCGGGCTTGTTTAAGCAGGAGTTCTAGTTGGGTGAAGGAGAGGGTTTCCATTAGCCGCTGAGAACTATAATTTTCCCTTTGTTGCTTAATTCTTACTTTCTTTGCTCGCTTGTTTCTGATGGGCATAGTTTTATAATAACCATCCATCAGAAAATTATTAAAATGCTAAAATAATAATATGGAGATGGATGGAGGTGGGATTTACATTATGTTATGGAGATGGCTATATCGGAGGTGGGAACTTCCAAGAAGGCCAGACATAAGCCCTATCTTCCATTTCCAGTAATCAATCGCTCTTTATTTCTCTTATTAACAATATGCAAAATAAAAATAATTTTGCTTTGAGATTTTATAGGCTCTCTTTTGGAGGACTGGAACCTCATCAGTTGCTTCCAAAATCTCGAACTGGAAAGATATGAGGGATTTCCGACCCTACGGCATAAAGCCTTATCTCAGATTTGCTATTTTTTTAGCAAACTGAAACAGTTTCAATGGTAGATCAATTTTGATTATCATTTAAACTGGATTAAGGCTAATTTTTTTTATCCTTATTTGAACCTTAATTCAATTTTTCACTTTGTGAAATTTTTTGGAAGAAAAGTTTGATAATCAGTGATATATTTTTTAACTGATGAATATAGGAGCCAGGAAAAGTAAGCCCATCAGATTTAGTTTACTTCCTGAACGGCTCCTATATATTATATTTTATCTCCTCTCAATTCTCCTCTCAATTCTCCTCTCAATTCTCCTCTCAATTCTCCTCTCAATTCTCCTCTCAATTATTCAATAGTTAATATCAATAAAAATTACTACTAAAAACTTATTATCAAGTATTATATTAATAATGAAAATTAGTAGTGATAAAAGGCCTTTAAAAGTTACTTGCTTGCGTTGCAAAGCCAAGATCGGTGTTAAATATATCGACGGGGAAAGAAATTATAGCCGCAAAAACAATTGGGACTATTGAACTGAAACAGAAGTTAAAAAACATTCGCCTCGTTATATGTGTGATGCTTGTTTAATGGAACTTTTTTTTCGTTATAAAAAAGAATTCAAAGAGTTTATTAAGAATCCTAAAAAACGCAATTTATTAGGTGTGTATATTAATGAAGGAATAATTGGGGTCAAAAAGCCGTTTTTTCTTCTCCCTGAGTAAAACCTGAGTAAGATTAGTGGGTAATAAATAAAAAGATTAGGTTATTATATGCCACTTTACCCTTTTATGAACACTCTTTATTATCATAACTCTTCGCATTTGAGAATACTCATTTCTTACAAAACTTCGCATTTAGCCTACGGAAAAATCGCAAGAATAAACTGCTCTTTTTTCCAGTTTTTTGAGAACAAAATAATTGCAGACTATCTATTTCCAGGTCGTTGCTCCTTTTAAGGGTTATGTTTTTTATTTGGGATGAACTACCCCCACCTAATCTTTACAGATTTGAGGATAGGAGTTTCCTAGTTTAACTAAATTGATTAGTCATGAGCCTAGCAGGCTATACCAACTCAGTTGGCAAAGTTCCTAGCCTGTTGTTTTGGGCTAAATATAAGACATTTTTGGCAGCATTAACATCTCTATCTAATACCAAGCCACAAGAACAATTATAGATTTCAACTTCTCTTTTTATTTTAGGATTAACTAATTTTCCACATTGACTACATCTTTGAGTAGTATTTTTAGGATTAACCACAATCACTTCCTTACCAGTTTCCTTCACTTTGTAAGAAAGAAATTGGGCTAATTGATATCAACTGGCTCGAATAATACTCTTTGCTAATGAACGATTAACTTTCCTTTGCTTATTCTCTTTTCTCTCTGTCATTGCTCTGCTTTTCAAATCCTCCAAGCCAATCAAATCAAACTTATTCACCAATTTCCTAGATAGTTTATGATTTCTATCTTTCATCCGATTACTTATTTTCTCATGCTTTCTAGCCAATTCTAATTTCTTTTCTTGGTAATTTTTACTGCCTTGCTTTTTTCGGCTTAACTCTCTTTGAAGTTTAATTAATTGTTCCTCTCCTTTTTGGAAATATCTAGGATTGTAATATTTTCAACCTTCACTAGTAGCAAAACAATTTTTTAACTCCTCTATCTATTCCTATTTCTCGATTAGTTTTAATGGTGAGTTTTGGTTCTACTCAACAACCAAAAGAAATTAACCACTTATTATTTTTTCAAGCAATAGTTAAGGTTTTGATAATTCCTTGGATTGGTTGGTTAAGTTTTAATTTAAGAGTTAGTTTTCTTCGGCTTTTCTCTACGGCTGAACCTAACTTAATGAACAATTTATCATTTTCAATTCCAAAACTCCCATTATTTTGGGTATAACTGAAACTATCATACCACCGATTATCAGTTTTCAATCTAGGATATTTGGCTTTGAGATTGATTGCCTTATATTCTTTATACTTTTTCCAAGTATCCCAAACCCTTACTCGAACTACTTGCTTTAAGATTTGAGAATAGATTTGGTTTAGTCAAGGGTTATTTGCTTTTAACTGAACTAATTCTTTTTCTTGTTGTTCTTTGGTTGGTTGTTTCTGTTTTTGTTTATCACATTCTATTCTTTGGCTTAAAAAGTGATTGTAGACAAAATTACATCCTTTCGAGATAAGATTTAGTTGTTGTTTAGTGGTTTGGTTAGGTTTGATGTAGCCTTGAATAGTTTTAGTTAGATAGTTCATGCCAAAAACATCTTATATAATTGTTTTTTAGCAATTCATCCCACCACTTACAGAAGTGGGGGCGTTCTTGCTAAGATTTTGGTAAAAATTATAACTGCCTTAATATTAACTATTTTTCACCAAATCATGCCAATAATTAATCTGAATTTGTTGTTGGATGTTTTCGGTCCTAACTATTGTTAACTTTATCTCTCGATAAATTTCCTCAGTCACCTTTAAGAAGTTTTCAAATCGGCCAAATGGCCATTTTTTTCTATCGTTTTCAAAAATTCTTTTAGTTTTTTCGCTTAAATCTTCCCGGGCAATTTGATTGTCTTCTATCAACTTTTGAAGATGATTAATGAACTGCTCTTTGATATCTTTTCTTAAATTTGCTTGTTGGTTAGGAGTTATTTTAGCCTGCTTATCAGAACGAATTCGCTCCATAACCTTCTTACTATTTTCAGTGAGTTTTTCTTCTACATTTACTTCTAGTATTTCAGTCAGTCGACGGAGGGTAAATTCCTCTAAGGATTCTTCGCCCTCTTCGGTTGGTTCGATGGTCAATTTTTCTTCTAACTCTTTAACCAATAAGTATACATCTTTAGCCTGGATAGGAGTTATTATGGCTTTACCGGAAATTAGTCCAAAAGAAGGTGATGCAATTCAGCAAGCATAATCAAGGTCGGCAGCCTTAAGGCTTTTTTCTAGTCTATTTCAATCAATTAACTTTTTGAGGCGAGCAATTAAAGATTTTATTTCCTCCTCATAGAAATCTTCATTAAGGACCATCTGTTCAATTCTCTTTTTTATGTTATAAAATTCTTTTCTTTTTTTAATTATGGATTTTAGGTTGCGTCTCTCTTCACTTTCTTCCCGAGTAGAAAAAAATTCTGCTAACCCGTTTTCACTAGTATTTCTTATCTCCTCCAGCAAAAGTTCTATTTCTTTTGGGGCAAGAAAGGTATTTCCTTTTTCATCTTGGTTTTCTAGGGATATTTCTGGTCAATGTAATTGGATAAAATTCTTTCTTGTTGTCACTCTATCAATTAGGTCAATTAAATAATTGGCACTGATACTACCTGATTTCATCTGATTTTCCCAATCACTATAATTATTGTCCAAAAGTTTTTGATTAAGATAGTCTTCTAATTCTTTAACTTGAATATTGCTCTTTTCTAACTTGGATTTTATGTATTCTATTCTCCTATTGGTTATAGTTTTGTTAAGTATTGTAGGTAGTGAAGATAAAAAATATTGTCATGAGGGGACAATGTTTTCGGTGCCGGGTCATCCGTTTAGTTCTAAAAGTTGCGAAAATAATGCTTGGTTTAAAGGTAAACAATTGTGATGGAAGTGACGGTTTTTAGTTCAGCAGAAATTTTCGGCTTTTATTGTTTCAAGTTTTGAACTCTCAGCCGCCATTTTTTTAACTTGTTCGACCAAATAATTTACTAATTTTTTATTTTGAGAAAGTGATTCTACTAATTGAGCGATTATATAACAATCACTCTGGCTAAAATCTTTTGTTGATAAATTATTCAACTCTTTGGTTATTTCTGGTAATAATTTTTTTCATAACTTCTTGGTAATAGTTAGTTCTAGCGGATTAAAGTTTTTAGCGATGCTGTCTTCTAAATTTTTCTTAAAAGTATCATCTTGCTCATTAAACCACTCTTTTAGTTCGGTAAAACCGGAGTTGTTTATTAGGTTGGTTATTCAGGGTTTCATGATATTATTTATTTTTTCCTTCTCCTCCTCCTCAACTTAACAATTAAAAAAATCACCATTCCTACTACTCCAATTACTATTATTCCTATTACTGGACCAGGTAAACCCTTATCTTTACCTTCAGAAGAAGCATTTTTCCTTTCCTTGGCTCGAACCTCATCCTTAATTTTATTTAATTGTTCCTTTTCTTCCCAAGATAGCACAGCATCACTAACATTAATATCCTCTCCTCTCTTAACTTGCTGCAAAGCCTTTAAAAAAGCCTTACTATGAGGCGTAAGATCAGAAAAGTAATCAACATTTATGTTTTCTCCTTTTTCTATTGCCTCTAAGACTAGACTATGGCAATAGGCTTGCTCTCAGCACGGACGATTACAAAATTTACGTTGGGGTTGTTCAGGGAAGTAACAGTGGGATTTCTCCACCTCCGTTAAAATTTTGCGACAAACTGAACAGGTTTCTCCGGAATTGTTGTCATCAATTCCATGGATAGGAGTATTAGTAAATGAAAGTTTAAAATCATTTGGTAAGGGAGAATTTGGCCGATTGTCGGATGGTGGAGGACTAGTTGGCTTTTTGTTATTAGTGGGCGAGGGATTAGAAATTCCTTCTTCTTGACAATAACAGTCAGCACATAAATAATTAGTAAATACCTCTTGACCAATCGGATTAACCTTCTTTAATCTTGGCTCAAAAATTACCTGATTACTACTTTTACACTTTTCACAAGTCCCTTTAATGGGAATTTTAGAATCCGAACGAGCTCAACAACTTTTACCGGTTTTGGCTTCGGCTTCGTGAACTTCGGGATTATGTTCTAATTCCGCTTCTCTTAATCTTTTTTTTCCTTCTTCTTCGGCTTGCTGTTTTTGTCTTCTTAAATTTTCTAATTCCTCATCTATTTCTCTTTTTTTGCGTTCTTTATCTCCTATTTCTTGTTCTTCACGTTGCTTTTGGCGACAAGATGAACTACCACAGCATCGTTTAATGGTGTCACCATCATATTGGACTAGATCCGAGGACTTTCTTTCAGATTTGCCACAGTAAGGGCAGTAAAATATTGCGTAGGGCATGATTAGTGGTTATTCAGATTTTTTTTTTTTTGCGATTGGTGTCATAAAATTATTGTTTAGGAGGGATTTCTTGGAAAGTTCTAAACTGGTTTTTTTGTAAGTTTTCTAGTTGGTTTGTCAATTGTGTAATTTCTGCTTGTTTATTCAAGAAATCGTGCATTTCCTCTTCAGTCAAAACTTTGCTTAAAGTTTTTTTACTTCTCTCAAAATGTTTTTGAAGTAATTTATTATTATTTCTTTGTTGTAAATCGTTATAAGTATCTTTCAACAATTCTAGTTCTTCTTTCTCATCATCATCTAGTTTGTTATTAATAGAATTGGTTAATTCTTCCAATTCTTTTTTCTTACTTTTTAACTGAGAATTTAAGTCAGCCAACTTAAGTCTTATAATTTCTTCTAATAAAAGTTCAAAGTCAAAGGGCTTGTTAGGAATAACTATATTAGCAATCTTTTTCAATCTTTCGTCTTCTTGATTAACTTGAATAGTTACATTAGAAGAGGAAGATATAGAAGAAACAGGAATAAATTTATTTTTATTATCCCTTTCATTTTGTATTCTAACTTCTGCTAAACGAATTAATTCCGAATTATCTTGCTTTCATTTGTCTCAATCATAAAAAGTTCTATCCTTATCAATATGTGAGTAATAAGGTTCTAATTGTTCTTTTAAACTTATACATTTAGCATTAGGTCGTCATTCATTGCTAAAAGATATTCCATTTTGACAACATATAACGAGATATTCCAAACCTGAATCAAGGTCAGTATTATCAATATTTAGACTCTCTCTAACTTTACGATAACTTCTATAATATTCCGGCGATTTAAAATGATTTATGGTCATTTTCCTTAAAAATTCTAAACTACCAAAAAAACGATTATAGTTACTAGTTTCCTTTCATTTTTTATAATCTGTTCCTAAATTAATAGTTTTTAAATTAATGAAAGGTAATAAGAAAGACAAATTTTGCTTTTCAAAATTATTGTTGCTAATATCTAGTGCAAATAGATTTTCTTTGTTAGGCAAGTCATTTAAAAAATCAGTGCTTGTTAATTGATTGTTAGAGCAATAAATTTCTCGTAAGTAATTAAGTTTTTTGCCTAACTTTAATTCTGACAACTGTAGATTAGAACAGTCTAAAAACCTCAAATTGAGACAATTACTTACATCTAAACTAGTAAGTGAGCCAACAAAACTTGAAGTCTCGCTGGAATAATTAACATATTCTAGTTTACTGCAATTTTTTAAGTCTAAATCGGTAATAAATTCGAGCATGTCTCTTCCTTGGCATTCCAGCACTCTTAACCCGGCAAAATCACTCAAATCTAATTTTCCTCTCTCATCTACTCCACAATATGCAACTTTGAGAGTTTGGATTTCTTGCCTTTTTTCTTTCGGGTATTCTTTATCCAGTCATTCTTGGGCATTTACCATGATTATTATTTACTTTATTGTATTCTATGTTATACTTAGTTATGTAAAATTCATCTTTTACCAATTTTTGTTATGAACTTTTTTCTCTTATTTTAATCTCCGATAAAATATCAGATCTATTTTTCCTCAGCAAATCAACTATTATCCTGAATCCACTGAGCCTAAAAAAGCCCAAATATTCTCCTCCCCTAAACATTTATTGAAAGTAAGTAATTGATTGAAACCAAAATGTTCCTCCTTATTAACTGAATTAATAAAGCAAGAATTAGAACTTAAATACTGCTCTCTCTCTCTCTTGCTATCACTAAAAAATAATTTCTTGTCCATACCATATAAATACATTTTACTATTTTAAAAAAATAGCAGAATTAAAAATTAGGTTTTAACCCCTCACCACCCCATTAAAATGACTAACTAAATTACTCAAAGCCGTTTGCACTTTATTGAAAGTATAAGACTGCTGACTACTATCCTGATTATTGGTAGCTCGAACTCATTCATTAATGCTATTTTTCAACTCATTTATCTTATCGCCTAATGAATTAACAGAATTGACAGAAACTCCCCCACCACTACCAGAACTAGAACCCCCATAACTACTCAATCTCCCCTCTAAAGTACTCAATCTAGAAGATAAACCCTGATACTGACTGGAATTCTGCAACAACCCAATCTTCTGTTCCAAAGCCCGCACATCCGCCTCCAAATTATTTCTCAAATTATTCAAACCATTTTCTAACTTACTTATATCCTCATCCAATTGCCTTTGTAAATTCTGAATTTGCGTTCCAAAACTCTGAGTTTCCACCATCAAATCTTTAATGTTGCGAGCACTCTGGGCCACATCTTTGAAGATATCAAAGATTAAACCCATTTGAGTCACTTCCTGCCCCACTTGCTGATAAACTCCTCACACGGCTTCCCTAGTTAAAAATTCATTACCAAAATCATATCTGATAATATTCTTAGCACTAGTAAAAGCC